TCGGCTGGCCTACAGTGCCAAACAAACTTTCATAGTTTACATTTTTCAAAAATTTCCAAAACACTTGTAGAGGGATTAACTTTTTCTTGGGATAAATAAAATGTTTTTCAGTTTTTCGCATAATTTTTACTTTGATCAGCTGTTGTTTCATCATAACAAACTGCCGTTGCCGTGAGTGCGGGGGCTAACACAAGAACGGCATTAGCTAGTAATCATTTGTGCGGTTCTTTATCTCAAAAGTTTTTTGGACCTTCTTTGTGCGTGGGAGAAACTTATACACAAAGTATGGATAACTGTTTTCAGGCTCACAGTCATAGCTTACAAGATGATATAGCAAATGTGAAAAATCAAATTCGCGACGTGGATAAGGCAATCTACGACACAAAAGAGGAGCTGAGTCGCAAAGAGATTCGACTTAAAGAACTCGAAGATAAGAAAAAAAACGTAAAAAATTTTGATTTTTTCGTCAGAAAGTTAATTTTTAAAATTTCGGCCCCAGAAAGATTCAAAAAAAAAAACACAGGTGAAACCAGAGCCTTCTTAAGTTTTATTTAAATATTTCCCGTTGATTTCGAGGCCGTTGTTCTTGCGCTGTGATTATTAAAATCACGAACTGAATGTGTGGGTTTATTAAAAACTAAAAAGATCAGTTGCGGATGTTCTGATTACTAAAAAAAATCGCGCACTAACAGAGTTTTGCTGAAATTTCACTACATCTTTAAAAGAAGCATTTCCGATTTTGTTATCTTTCCTGATAAATGGTAGGTTCGATCAGAAGCCTTTCTTCGTTTCTAATTTTACAATTTTGCAGAAAAGCGGGCGTGAGAAGGATGAAATCGAGAAACGAATTAAGGAAACGATGGCAGCTCTGACAGCTACGGAAGCCGAGCTTGATGCAGTATGCCATAAAGGAAAAGAAACCAAAACCGCGATAGATCGTAAAGCGAAAAGCATCCAATCGGTAAAAATGTCATTTCCTGCTAGCGAGTGGCTAAAGATTGCTACGAACGGATTGGGACTTCACTGAACCATTGTTTAGAATTATTGTGACAAGGTGGGGGGTTTTTTTAATTTTGAAATAGGAAGTTTTCTGGAAGATTGGCAAAATATAGTACAAGGGATCATTTTGCTGCGAGCCATGCTTGTAAATAAAAATGGGTGTCATGGATGGCGCTTGGTGTAGTTTATTTTTTTACATTTTTTATTCAACACAGTGATGGTAATGGTTTTGTAGGACAAGAAGGAGCTGGAGAAAAAGCAGAACGAATTGAAAAAGCTTGAAGCAGGAAGTGGCGGTGAAGAAAAGCGTGGTAAAGAAGCAGAAGAAGCCGTGAAACGTGCTCGGAATAAGATAGAAGCATTGGCAAAAGGAATGACTACTGATGAGGAGGGCCATGCTGTCACCCTAGATGCTCAGCTAACAGGTCAGTGTTTTTGGTTTTCTACTGCCGCTACTTACAGTTTTATTTTTGGTATTTTCTTCAAAAGAAGGCTTTTTTGTCGAAAATACTGAGGGATTTGTTGTTTGATATAAGATTTTTTAAAAATTTCCCCCCTCCACTTCTTGCACTTTTATCATTAGGTCTGTAGAGCGGAAACAGCGGTGATTATAATAGTATCAGTGCACGGCCGATAAAAGGAATGTCGAAACTAGAATATGAGGACCAGCAATACTACATGTTAGTGGGATGTGTTTATAGATGTGTATATATAAAGGCCGTCAATACTAACAGATGTGAATTACTGTTTGCGCTACTGTAGCAGTAGTTCATGCTTGTTAGTGTAAATCTGCATTATCAAAAGCAGTGCAAGGTATCGGTAGCATGTGTGTGTCGATAAAAATACATTTGGATCGTCGCAACTAGTAATTGTGAATACAATGCCCTATCATGAACGGAGCTCGTTTTCAAAAATGGTTGTGGACCAGCAAGGAATCGAACCATTCCCCTTCACATTTGGACGCAGTGTACTAGCCACTACACCAAGGGCGTTTGTGTTGTAGGATCAACCTGCAAGCACATGTACTGCGTATCTGCCTTTCAACGTAGAATATACCTTTCTTG